GGTTTTACACATGAAGAAATCTTTTCTTGATCCTAGCATGGAGCTTTCTTATTTTCTTTTTATATACCTACTATGGAGAGGAAAACAGGAATTGGCTGAGAGACTGGGAAGGAAGGGGGAGAGAGGAAAGCTACGCAGGGAAATGTCCGCCATGGATCGGGAGTACAGCTGCTCCTTTCGGGGCTGTATCAGTTCACACTTCCCTCCCCAAAAGACACACTGACTGTGTGAATTTGTCACTAGATTCCTTTTACAGAGCCACTTGGATCTCTCTGAAGCAGAGCCCATGTGCTTGAGATGAGGTTTCCCACTGTACTTTGTGCCACCTGAGGCTGAAGGAGCCCAGACCTCGTCGTCACTGTGCAGATCCTTCCACCACAGAAGGGCTGTGCTTACACACTTCATAGTTTCCTTCTAAACACCTGCCTTTTGTCCCTCTCTCCCCCTACAAAAACTCCTAGTGCAGCCACAGGCCCAGAGGAGCACAGTGGAACAGAGGAGGGGGATTAGAAATTCTCATAGACCGGGAGGTGCTGGTGTCCTAAACAACTTTGTCCATTGGTTGAGGAAACAAGAGCTGCTGCTGGGATCAAACAGAGCAGCTCCAAGCACAGGAAAGGGAGAGCTGAGGGATCAGCAAGTAATGGCAGACTACAACTTTTAATGCAAGAACATTTGCAAGAGGGTTAAGGAGGGTTTGCTGGGATAAGGACAGGTTGAGAAAGGTTTGCTGACATGAAAAAACCCTTTAATGGGGCAAAGAAAGGATTTGCAAATAGTCAGTGCTTGTAAGAAAGAAAGCAGAGGAGAGACTTGGAGGATCAGGACTGAACACAGTGAAGCTGTGAGGAGGAAGAAAACAACTACAGAAAATTTGGCATGTCTAGCTGGTAGTCTGTGTGGAGTCTCGAGAGAAACAGCAAATGAACTTCCCTGTGCTTTGGCAATTAGTGTTTCAGAAAGCCTTGGAAAGGCAAGAAAGTTCAGGAGAGTCGGATATGTCTGATATCATTCAGTGTTAGCTTTGCAGTTACTGTGCTGATAAGGTAAACTTTGTAACACAGTACAAACAGTACAAGGAAAAGTGTGCTGAGCTGGTCTCCCTTCCCCTTCCATCAGCCATGCCCCAAGACTTCCAAGTGGGAGCTTGGTCTGAATAGGAAAGGAGAGTATGGAGTCCAGGATATATGAAATCCTAGAGGATAATAAAAACTGAGCAATAAATGGTCATAAAAACAGATATTAAAGGCAACCATCTGCACATCTGGCTCCATAACAAGTTCTTAGTGGGCAAGGGAAGCAGTAGCTCTGGTATGTTGACCTTGCAGGAAAGCTTCAGTTAAGGGTTTCCCAAAGCCCAAGTGGCAAACTGAGTTCCCTGTGCTGTGGTTATAAGAACTGCAGCTGCAGACTGAAAATAAGAGTGAAAACAAACCCACAGGGGTAGTAGGAAATTATTGGTAAACACGAGCTCTCCTTGTCTGTGGAACAGATTTTGGGGGGAAATGGTAGAAAAATCCCCGTGCTTGTCATTGAAAGTAGACAAAGGAGGATTTTCCTCTGAGGAAAATCCCCTGAGCGAGGAGGGAAGGGAAATACTGAGGCGATGGCTCAGGATGAAACAAACGCTGACAATTCCCAAATATGCAGCATGTGTAAAATGGCGTGTGATTCCTGCAGACCAGGTATTTATCAGTTGGTGACCTGAGCTGATCATGGGGGCACTGAAGTGCCAACACACCGGTACCAGACACTGATACCACCGGAGAAGGCACTGGGATGTTCCCTGTTGTGCCCCATGGCTTCCTTTCTGCTGAATGCTGTGTATGTGTACAGACAGTTAAGCTTACACATGAAACAGCAGAAAAATGAAATCGAGTGTTTAGCATAAATATCTCCTCAGAAGCAGACAAAAGCACCTGAACTCCAGGGAAGTTTTTCCCTGTAAGCGATTTGGCCAAGAGGCCACTGGAGAACACTTACGGTCTCGGGTCTGTGTCCCCCGCGATGCTGCACACGCCCCACTGAACACCAAGTTTTCACTCATTTGTACCCTCACAAAGGCTTTGAATATCGTGCAGTTTTTCAGCAGTAGGAAGCCCGGAAATCAGGAATACTTTACGGTCCCACGATTTCGGCCGTGGAATCTGAAGCGCAGACACACGCACACAGAACTCGGCCACCTCCAGTCATTCCCGTTCCATCACAGTCACACACGGCAACTCACACCAGCTGAAAAACTGTCCCGGAGAACCGAACTAATTACAGTTATCGAACCACAGGTTTTCAAAGGAGACCGGAAAGTATCTTACCCCTGAACACAGAGGATCATGTCACTCCTGGACCAAGGGAAAAGCATTAAGTCTTCAAGAACGTGGGAAATGCGCTCTCCTCTTCTCTTCTTGCCGCCTTTGCTTCCCCGAAGCAGCTGGTTCAGCCTCTAGTTGGGGTTCACGGGGAGAGAAGGCTGGAGAGTCCCAGCAAACCCCGTCCGCAGGAGGTTGTTCCAGCCACAGGAAAAGCCAAGCAGAAGGCGAGCTGTCCGAGACAGACTTCAGCAACTTTGGCCAGGAAAACGTGTGCAGAAAATATAATGTATTCTTCCTCTGCTTTTCAGAAAACAGCAGCAAAAAAAAAAAATAACCAAAGGAAATTACATATAAAGAGGAACTAATCTTCCTTCAGAGCAGTCTTTTAGAAAAAGATACTCAGAGCGCTCTGAAATAGTAATAAATAGGTAGCAATAAATAAGGTCTCCCCGGGAGGAGCCGGAGAGCAGCGACCTGCCTTTGCGCTGGCTCCGGAGTAATGAGGCTCCGTGGAAGGAGGGGAAAAAAAAAAAAAAGCAAACCTCCTTAGTAATCTTTTGTGTGCCCCTTTTAATCTGTTCCAGGAAGTGAGGGATTCCTGGAATCGTATTGTGTTCGCATCACTCTTCCTACATCAGCCACGCGGGGGGGGAAGGCTCCCCAGCGAGGGTATAAATAGCCGCGTCCAGGGCGGGCGCGGCGCCGCCGCCTCGGCCAGGGGAGGGCCGGCCGGGCCGGGGCGTGAGCGGAGCCTCCCGGCGGGCAGGGCCGGGAGCGGAGACGTGGTGCGGGCCGCCGCCACCGCCGCGCGTGTTCGCGAAACGCCTTTGATCATTTCCAAGAACTTTCCAGGAACGCGGGGCGGCGCTGCAATGCACGCGCACCCGCGGCGCTCCCGCCGATGTCGCGGAGGAACGAGACCGCGCCCGGGGCGGAACGACGGGCCGCCGGCACCACCCGCCTGCCCGGGCCGTCCTCCTTCCTTTCGTTATTCAACATCCGTTGTCGTTTCTTCCCACTTATGGATTTGTTAGTGTTTTAGGTGTATTGTGTGTGCCCCCCCCGGCCGGCGGTGCCGCTCCGTGTCGCAGCAGCACCGGGTGCTGAATGAGGGGCAGGTCGTGGGGCTGGAGGGGCAAACAAGGGAATGGGGCAGTTTTCCAGTGAGTCGTGGTCCAGGGGAGGAGGGTGGTGTGGTGCAAGCTCTGCTAGTCGAGGCAGCGAAAGTGTCGTTGTCGCACCGCACGGGTTGCCTCATGTTCTTGGTCACCTGGGAATCCCCCTGTGAATGAGGATTTCAGCTCGGTAGAGTCGCCTGGAAAAGGTTAGGGCACCACCATGTTACCGTGCAGATCGCTGTCTGCTAAAATTGGGTGAGCCAGGAGGAAATATTACGGTTGCTTTTAGGGTTATTGAAGCTTTTATTTTTAAACACTTTATAACAAAAGCTTGGTCATTCTTTTCCTGCCACGAGTTGCCACCTCTTCACAGGTCAGAGACAAGAGAGAATGAGTGGTGTGTCTGCCACGTCCATCGGAGTAGACTGAATACTTAAAAGTATTAATAATCGTTGCTCCGTTCAGAACCGCAATGGATGGGGCCGCAAGCAGAGGGGAGGGCAGGATGCTGATAAGGGTAGGGCTAGAAGGGTGTTCCCACAGGCATCAGCCAGAGAGCAGGCAGGCTGTGTTCGGCTCCTGACTCAGCCTTTCATCCCTGCTGTCTCCTCTGGCAGCTGCTCAGCCTCCAGCATTGCTCCCATCCGCTTTCTGGACTGCATCAGGGACTGCAGTAATGAGTGCTGATACTAATAGCGGTGCTGAGGGACATCTAAGTATCCAGGGGGATGGGAATGTCATCATGCAGGCACTCCTTGACCAATTTGCTTCTAAGCCTAAACCAGACTTGAGCTCACACTCATCAGAGCGTGTGTAAATTCATAGGAGAGGCGAGGGCAGAGCGGAGGAATTTCAGCCCTCACCGTTTCTGTGCACAGCAAGTGCAATAGTCAGACGATCATTCAAAGGCTCACCCTTGTAGCTCCGGCTCAGGGTTGCAGGGGGACACCTGCCTGCATGTGCCCCTTCCCCTCTAAATCCCGCGCTGTCGAAGCCTCCTGTTGGTGGTGCAGCAGCGCGATGGATTGAGCACATCCACGCTAGAGAGGTGGGAGCGGCTGCTGCCTCCTGCACACCGCGGTTAACCCGCACGCTCCCTTGGCATTTATTTCGTCGTCATCCTGGGAGGAGATGACGCTGCGATCCCGGCTGTGCTGTGCCGGCAGGAGCGCTGCAGCCCGGCACGGGCAGCGAGGGGCTGTCGGCGTGGGGTTTTGCTTAGAATTGGGCTCCATCTAGTGATCCTCTTCAGAGGAGGCTTTGCGTGCAGGCTGTGCCGCTGGCTGAGCAGCCATTTGTGTCTCCGGAGCAGGGAAGCGGCGCTTGGAGCTGTGCAGTGCAAACATCACCTGCAGAAGGGGGTCTCTGTCGGCGGCTTTGTCGCTGCTCTGTGGAGGCAGCGGGTGCTCAGGTCCTGCAGGACCCTGAGAGATGAGCATTGAATCCAAGTGTGTGTGAGCATCAATTAAAGGAGCTGGCTTTTGCACTGGAAACTTCTTTAGGGGCCCACCTCAAAAAAGGAAAAAATGTTCAGGCTAATGCCTGGGCTATTTTATCTATAAAATTAGTGATTGGTTTTAAATCAGGAGCAGTCAGTGATGCTTCATCACTCTACCTCGTTGGCACTCCTCGTGTACACGGTAATGCCCCAAGATGGAAACAGCACAGTGTGCCAGATCTGCCAGTGCCCCAGGCCTTGCACTGTCAAGATAAATTCCTGCCACTCCTCCAATAGTTGTTTAAACCCAGTTTATACTGATATAAATGGCTTTCCAGAGCTCGGTGTTGAAGAATTAGGACATTGAAGAGGCAGTAGCAAGAAATATCGAATAATATCCTTGACTGCTAGGCTTTAGTTATGAAAGGTACCAAAGAAAGCTCACAATAAAATCACAGGAGTAAGAAAATCCAGAAATCGTGAGCCAGTTAGTCCCTCAGGAAAGTTCACCAACACAACAGCACCATCTGCTGCTAAATGTGTGTTTGGTAACACCCACTGAGGGTGAGTTACAGCTTCCACTGTGCAGTTGGACATTTCTATAACCTTGTAGAGTTGGCATAAATGAAAAGTGACATCCAGAATCATAGCTCTTAAGAGGGGTCTGTGTGCCTGGGGGCTGGATTTACCTTCACCATAAGGACTGAACTCCTTTGGTTACTGCGTGGTCCTTCCCCTGTGCTGTAAGGTAAGGAATAGCATGGCACTGACCAACCATTAGCAATAACAAGCATCTGTTCCTGGTTTAGATGGGCCATCTTGTTATTTGAGTAGGGCACACCAATTTCTGTAATTAAGAACAGGCACAAGGGTGATGAACTTGCTGTTGTGTTTTTTATTTCCCAACCTGGTGTGGAGCAATGGAAGGAGTCTCCGGGGTGTGGGTGAGCTGTGCCATGGATACAGTGACATCTGAGCTGGCTCCATGAGAAGTAGGATGTGCAGAAAGGAATGGGTTTCATTTCAGGCTACAAAAAAATACTTTGGGGTTACTGTAAGGAACTCACCATATTCATTATCTGAAGGCTTGCTAGCATGTGGCGACCCAGAAGGTTATTGTAGTGTGGCATATGTTAAGAGCTTTTCTGCTTGATTCAAATGCTGTTTTTCTGCAAAGACTGTATTCCTAAGTGGCCTGGAAGGCCATCCTGGGACTTCCAGGCAGTGCTGCCATACCCATTAGTTGCAGGATCTCTTTCAGTGAAAGACAGAGATTCATTTCTTTTGCTCCACTGCAGCATAAAATGAAGTGCCATCTCCTGTGGACAGATTAGAAGATTTTTGATGTTTTTGATTTATGATCCTTCTGTGAAAAAACATGTCTTTTTTTTCCCTCTCTGCTGAAAGGGAAACATTCAAGTGGTATCTCTGACTCCCTCATCAATAAGCTGTGTCCTAAAGCTCCTTCTCTGCTTTAAGTTTCTTAGTGTAGGAGCAGGGGTGGAGCCTCCCAAAATTTTCTCCATGACCAGGACAAGGTATCTGTAATAAGGTGTCTGAGTCCAGGGTTATAAAAGCAGCTGTTCTACCCACTTCTGTACTTCTGTAGGAAAATACCTGCTATGTGCTGACAGGAAGAAGTAATCTGGAGGAATGAAGTCAGGTATTAGGACAGGCTCTCCAGAATGAGAGACTGGTGTTCTTGAGACTTCCCTGCTTCACTGGCAGCTGGTTCATAGCCAGAATTTTGGTTCCTCCTGGAAACCATGTTATAATCCCAGGTTAGGACAGAGGGTGTTGAAAATAAAAGAGAAGTTGTTCTAACAATAAAGCATCAATAAAGATCACTGCCTATGAAAGAGCTTTATAAACCTGGTTTTACCTCAGCCCTGAGAGAAAAGAACCAGGCTGTTTGCTGATGAGCTTTCCTAGTTTGGTCTTTTTTTTTTTTTGTTTCCTTTTTGATAGTCTGAGACAGACACCCCCAGAGCAGAGCTGAAAGACAGGCGAAAAAAAACATGCATCTAGTTTCTGATTCAGACCACTGTGTACATGACAGGCTAAACTAAAGATCCTACAAGAAGCTTCTTTTCTTCTCTTTCACATCAAAATACTGTGCTGCAGAGCTGCTCTTTCCTTCTTTTAATATCACAGATGCAGTTTCTCTAGAACTTCCTGGGGGATTTAATAAGGTTGTTGCAACTGCCCAACCAAAGCCGTGTCCTCACTTCAACCTGGCAATACAGAGGATTTTCTCTTTGGTGACATCTATATAATGCACCCCAGAGTGTGGATTTCTCATAACAGCAGAAAAAATATATAGCAGAAAAATTATATAGCTGTTACCCAAGAGGAAGCAATGTTTCAGAAAAAAACAAGTCACGAGTTTTCAGCTGGTGGTGATAATTTCTTTATTATAGCTGATGGGATTTCCATGAGATGTTGCTACCAAAGGGCTGACCTCCATGCAAATCACTTTTGTATATAACTAAACAGATACCTGTAGCATTCAGGTAAGTATAACTCCTCAAAATATGCCATCCCTCAGACACATTTGATGACATCAGCTTTCCTAGCTCTCCGATGAGAGCAAACTCAATCATTTCATTTTTGTTAAGAAATGAGACATTTGAAAGTCTGAAATGTCTTTGATCCCAGTTATTAAATTGCTACAGCATGGCAAACAGGCAGTGAAAATACCCAGTGGAATAGCCAAAATTAACCTCCTGTGTTTAAACAGTAGTGCTGTCCATCTGTAAAGCAGGTATCTGTGGTATTCAAGACATGAAAAAATCAGGGACAGCGTATCCAAACTGCATGCTGGCTAAAATATAAAGCTTTTCTAGGTTAAGCCACTGGTTAGAGAAAAGGAGCTGCTGCCTCAAAGCTTATTGCAAGAGCAGGACCTTATTGTTTTCTCCTATAAGCTATTTTTTATTTTGGGACAAGCCTGGCATAGCTGAGCTACCAAATTCTCTCCTGAAATTAAGTTGTTTTGTGTTGTTGCTGTTGGGGACTTCTGGTAAAAATAGGATTAATGTTTAATTTACAGTCTTAGGGATTTTTGTGAAGATGAAAGAACTTTTGCTGTAGTGGGCTCTTAGCTGTGATAGTACCGGTTTGGGTTTTTTGTAGCTTCAGAAAGCAAACATCAATAAATAAATAAATAAAAACGTCTGTTTGAATGAAAAATGTCCCCTGGCTCAGTGAGCTGCAGTGGGCCTGTCAGTGTGTCCTCCTCCAGCATCTCCAGAGGGGGCTAATGCAGCTCCACCTGCCACGAGCACAAAGAGAAGCTGCAGGATCCAGAGAGTAATTCCCAGGGAGATTTAAAACTGGCATTTGAAAACAGACATTGTGGGAAATCCTCCTGGAGCCAGACAGGGGAGAACTGCAGCCAAGGTGACCACACTGTGCTTGCTCACCCCTGGGATGTCAGAGGTGCTGGGTGTTATCTCGGGATGTGCCCGGATCCAGCAGGCTTGTGCTTCCCTGGAGCTTGTCAGAGAAATTATAAAACCTTAAGCAGCTTAAGAGAAGAATATTGTACAGATGAATGTTCTCAGCTCTGTAAAAACCACACAGGGATTGCAAAGGTTGGGATTTTCCTTCAGAGGGGGTACCCAGCACAGGTATGCAGGTACAGTACCTGAGACACCACACAAGTCACTACAGCAGAGCTGGTTTTGGCTTTGTGGTCATCCTTGTCTACAGTGAGGCTCTTTGATACTTGGGCTGCAGCTGGAAAAGCCTTTTTTGGAGTTTATGGTGGATGAAATTAGCAGAGGGTTGGTCTCAGGCCTTACTAACCATGATTCACACCGGGTTTTAAGGTGTTTGCCCTGTTTAAACTTAGTACTGGTTGCTCGTAAAACAGTGAACTTTGCTAAGGGCAGATATAGACAATATCAAGGGGTGAACCCAAACAAGCTTTCCATCCCAGTAAGATACCCAGTGACTTGAATAATGTGTTTTGTATCCTCCCAGTTTAATTTTCCTCAGCAGGGAACTGTTGGTGACAGACGTGTAGAACCAACTAACTTCACACATCCTGTCTCATTCCCTCATCTTTCCTCCTTTCTTTCCACACAAAGCTTATTCTTGTAATAGTTCGAAAGAGTCACAATTTCTTAATGAAATTCCTTACTTCTGACACACTCTGTAAAAAATAGCAACCCTTCAAGTAGACATCTGCTTGGAATTTTTGCAGTGTTTAATATTTCCCAGAATAGGGCCATAAATCGCCTTCTGCCAGCTTCAATGTGCCAGCCATTGTAATTCCTGCTTGCTTTGGGGAGCCATAGGCTTCAGGGTCAGAGTTACATGGAAAGATCAAAACTGGGGCTGGGAGATTGGTGTGAGTGAATTTATTTCTCAAATTATAAAATGCAGGAGAGAGCGGAGAGATTTGTAAGTTTTCTGAAGGGCCTGACCCCCTGCAACTGTGCAATGGGGAGAGAAATGTAGTTACCTGTTGCAAAGAGAAAGAAATTACCATCCAGGACTAATAGAACAGAAAATACAGGCAGGAGCCATGGGAAGGAAAAGCAGAGCAAGCTGCTGACTGCAGAACAGTGTTATTGAAGGTTTGCAACCTGGGAGCTCAGTTATGGATCCATCTCTGAGACAGCCACAGTGGGAGGTGATGCGAAGCCTAAGAAGGCTGGAAGCCAAACCTGAAAAGAAAAGGTTGGAAATAGCTGTTTTCCTCAGGGATTTGATTAGCCCAGAATAGGTGAACTGAATCAGGGGACCAGGCCCTCCAGCAGCTGAACTGCAGAAAGCCTGGAAGGGAAACCTGAGGCGGAATAGCGGTAGCATCACATCACATGGTGATGTACTGCAGATCCGCATCCTGCTAAGTTGAACTACTTTTTATTCCTTGGAGAAAGGGCTCATTAGCCCTTTTAATTATTTTCCTTACCGCTAGAACTCCAGATGCCATTATGTTACGTAAAATGACAAATGTATTTTTAACTTGTAAAGCATGTGAACTTTTAAGTTCCTTCCAGTGATACGAACGCAGCTCCATTTCAATGCGTGACTCATCTTCACATGTAGGGGAAAAAAACCTCAGCGTTTCACATCCCTGTAACCACACGCCGTGCACCGGCGATGAGCGACAGTTGCTGTGGGAACCACCACTTTTAAATGTCCTGACTGTGCCCTCCAAAGTGCCAAGAAATACTGACCGCGTGGAGTTTAGTGGGAGCATTTAGTGACAGAACCCTTTCGGCTGAAGGATGATTGCCCGGGATCGCGTCTCAGCCCGTTTGAAGCAGGGTTTGGAGCGAACGCGGCGATCCTTCCCCTTCCCAAAGGATCCATCGGGGCAGGGCCGGCGGTGCCACCGCGCGGGCGCGCTGCGACACCAGCCCGGAGCCGCCCGGCTCCAGCCCGCCCTCCTCCCCCTCCGGCA